CCATGTGGCAAAGGCCTGACCATGACACTTACTCAGAGGCTTGAGCCTCGAATTAGTCACACAGACGCAGGGTATGACCAATAACGCCTCAAGTTGGCACAGACAGGGTGTCAGGGGTCGAGTGAAATATGTGAACCAGAGAGAGTGCAGACGAATCTTACAGGACAAGAGAGAGACTGGGGTAAGACCTAGGGAAGGAGGACTGCGCAACAATATAGCAGACCCTGATCAACATTCCCTGCACAAGGATGAAGTGCGCTGAGAAGGCCAGCGTGGAGTGCGGAGAGTTCTCATGAAATCCGCTAAAAAAAGGACACACCGATGAAGGATGGTGTGAAGGCCATTGTGGAGTGCGGAGGTTTCTCATAAAAGCCGCTTTTAATTAAAAAAAAGGGCACACCGTGCAAGTAAAATATTGTGACAGTGAAGGCATGATTGGAGGATATAGGAAATGTGAATAGGCCAGGGCAGAATGGGATATACCGTAACTGTTCAGCACAAGTTTGGCCAAAGAATCGGCTTCACTTGGCTCTTTGACGAGTTTTAATATGGTGCTATGAATGATAAAACTCACTGCCCATGCCGACTACGATGCCGGTTTAGCGTCTGGGAATGTACTACGTCCACGGTCCAAATTTGGAAATAATTATGCATACAATGGACTTAGGACAAGGTCCGTTCTTATAAGTCTTTCTACCAATATGACCAAGTTGCGAAAACAAGGTCAAACAACTTTTATACAACGAAAGGAGACTGTGACCACACAAAATGCCACACCATCTTGATCTTCATATCTTCGTAGAAAGATTGTCGCGTAAGGAAGACTGTAGAATTGTGCAAAGAAGTCCTCGGCTCATCGCTCTGTGACCTCGATTAAACTCGTGCTAAGATTTCCTCTGTCTGTACTCTGACAGACATAATTTACGAAATAGAGCAAAAATATACTAAATCAAGAGAAAAGGTGGCCGGTTGCAATCCTAGTCGCGATTTTAATGAGGCCTCCTCTGATTTTCTTGGCTGTGTTTAGCCAACAGATCAAATTTTTGGACCGACAAATCTTTACAGATCTCACCACATGAGCACAAAACCTTGTAATATCTCTGATCTATTCGTTTAGACAATATTCAGACCCTCCTTCTAGATCAGGCTGCTACAAGGTTTTGTGTTCATATGGTAAGGTATATGTGGCGGAGACCTGTCGACCTATTCACAAGAGACTATGCGAACATAAAACCGCTTGTAAAAGTCTGTGGATCCAAAAATCTCAGCTCGCTGAACACATGACCAATAAAGGACATTCAACGTTTTGCGGATTACGCGGACTTCACGTCAGAGCGTAAGATTAGGGAATCTATAGAAACAGCCAACGTCCTGAATAGGAGGAACGAGTGTAGAAAAGTAGGACCTATGTGTGGCCACTGAGCAAGAGGAGGCTGGATTAGCTTCGTGTCTAGCTAGGACTATCATACTGCTCATGACATGAGCATTACAAACACACAATAGACAATAGAACAAGCCTAAGCATGATTAGGCATTAGGCGATCGTGCGCTAGTTTTTGTGTGATGAAACAGCTGCCACCGAACTTACGGTTTGGGAAGTTAACTTCCCTCATTTGTTAGTATGTAGAGGAAGGTTGAAATAGCCAACAAACTCAGGGAAGGCCTCATTAAGTTCGCGATGTTGGGTGTATAAAAAAGCGAGTAAGGTCTCAGCCGGCCACCTTTTCTCTTGGTTAAGTATATTTTTGCTCTATTTTGTCAAGTATGGAATCTTGCTCTGGTGATGTCTGTCACAATACAGACGAAAGTACAGTTTCATCGAGGTCGCAGGGCGGTGAGCCGAGGACTTCTTCGCACAATTCAACAGTCTTCCATACGCGACAGTCCTCCTTCGGTTTCCTGTTACACTACATCACGAAATCCTATCAACTAACTTTCCCTTCGAAATAGAGAATCATGCCATAATATCTTATTAAGGAAATCTTCGAAACTCAGTTTTTCTTCATATTAAGGAAAGTAAATTGTAGATAATATATGAAGATGCTGGCAGAATACTGAAATTCGTACCATATAGCTATAGAAAGGTTAAGATAAGAGCATTTGATCATAAGCCAGGGTCAAATACTTAAATACATGGAGGGCGGGTAAAATTATTTGTTTCCCAGTGATATATTTTCAGACCAGTTAAATATAATGAAAATAAAATAAACCAAAATTATATGACTTTAAGAGATATGTATAAAAATAGATAAAAAGTGAAATAGGATGAGGCGAAAGTGATACAAAATTAAGAGTACATACACGATGCTCATCAATAAGGAGTCATCCGTGGATTCTTGCTCCAGATCAATAGAGGCTTGGAAGCTAGGCTTCGTAATACTAGGGGTTAGGTGCAAATTTTCAGGGCTCCAACAAGGAGAACGAGATTTTGTAGGGCATTGATCCAAATCAACATAGGACACATTCTTGTCGGGGTATGGTCGCTGATGTTGGTGATGGGCTTGTGGTGATTCTTCAGGTTGTGGCTGCCCCCTGTTTTTATAAAGGGATTGATGTGGATCAGACATGATCGAAGGCTCATCCGCCAAAGATACAGGGTCACTCTCTGCTGAAAGTTGTAGAGAACTGTTGTAATCTGAAGTGGACGCATTTTTGAGTACATCCATGGATGTTGTTGGTTGTGGTAAAAGTGTGGGCCCTGTATTTGAGTCCTCTACGTCCATTATGAAATGAAATGGTGGTAGTGTAAATAATGGACCGTCATTTGGAATTGTCTTCAGCACTTGGCCAGGGCCAAGTGAATCTAGCATTTCATCCTTGGTATTTAATGTATTCATCTGTGACTCTGAGCCGCGAGCGCATGATTGAGTTTCGAGTCTTGTAAAATAAGATGGTGAGAGGTCCGGTTGAGCACTTGGGGAACCTTTTAGGCTGAGAGGGATATTGCTATCGCTTCTGGAGGAAGGCGGGATAAAATAATAGGTATGAAAACAAAGAAAAATGTTGAGCTTAGAAGACACAGGTAGATAGATGTTATGTTTAAGCTAACTTGATATTTAAAGCAGAGATAAGAAGTGCGACTCTTGGAATTGACAAATTTACTCGAATCAAAGCATAGGATGAGCTAAAATATTGGTGTAGCGAAGTGTAAAATAATATAGCTAATTTATACGAAATGTTGAATCGAATTAAGAATTTTGAAAATGTTGAGATCCAATGGAAAGCGAAAATAAAACAATCTATGGAAAGTGGAAATATAAGCACGCTCGGGATGCGATGAGTAATAATAATTCAAATGACAACTCAAACTTTAAAAAATAGGCTACTATGCTGGCGAAACGTCTGAAATGTACCAAGTCCACGGTCCGATGTTTGGACTATTATGGAATATGACTTCGGACAAGGTGAGTTATACTAAGTCGCCTTGGCAACAAGACCATGTTGAAAAGGAGACTGCGACCACACTAAGCGGCACACCATCTTGGTCTTCATATCTTAAAAGATTTGTTTATGGCAAAACTCCAACCTTTGGTATGTATTCCTTTTAATTTTCATATCCTCAGAGTAGGCCCTCATCTAAAAGGAAAGTTTATGGATTATAGGAACCCATTCGGCTTCATTAAATATAACAATTATTTCCTCTTAAAAATAAAGATCCGTATAGTCTAAACAAGTTCCATTCTTTAATAAAACAACAAACAAATGACAATACGATTCAAAGGACAGGAACATCATTTAACACTACACTGACCTGTAGTCTGTACATTGGGAACCCATGAATACAGCAATATAAATATTCTCTTAGCCTGCAAGCGTTCATGAATAGCTCCGAATTGGCTATTAATGTGAGCTCATGAGATACACAAGTTTTGTATTACCGGAATAGGCCCTCTAAGTATTATGGAAAATATGCTGGCTTTAAATAATAAGAGCCAATTAGCAATTTGTTACAGAGGAATTAAGATTATTCTAAAATGTCGATTGCAAGTTTTATTCCTTACTACCTTCTGGGTTCTTATTTCCTTAATAAGCTATCTCCTCGGCATCAAGGAGAATAAATAAGTTCTTTTCATGAAATAGACTCATTCCTGAATAATTTCCATATGCGAAGAAAAGTTGGATTTCAAGGAATCACTTGTTTCATAATTGATGAGCTTACTTCCATTTCGAGTA